AGTTTGGAAAAATTCCATATCGTTGTGACCTTTCGCTGATTGTATTCACATTGACGAAAGTGCATTTATTTTCTTGGTGTGAGCATTCAACATATGCAACATGGAATCAGACCTTCGCCAGCCTTTTTTTGAAATGGCTCCATACAATCCACAGTCTTTAAGATAGTACAATATCTCCCTTCAAAGTTTCCTGCGCCATATTGAAAGGAAGCCGTGCTTCACGAACGCTGAGTTTTCAATGATAGAGACATGTGAATAATTGTCCAAGGTGTTAAAAAGTTCTCTATCATTGCAAGCTCACTGCTGACCTCGCTTCGATGCAAAGGCGCGGCTACCTTTAAAGATGGCGGAGGAAACTGTGAAGGGGCACTATTAGACTAAGGTCAAACGTCGAACTTTACATGAAGAAGACCGCCTTTTTATCCATTGTTTCAATTAGGTTCGGCTCATGTGATATTCCACGATGTCCTGAGTCTTAGTTGCTATCGCTATGATATATATTTTCCCCTGATTTTTCTAGTTGTTGACGAAATGCGCTACACGCGCCTTTTTAACCACCGCTGATTTGCTCGAATATTGGCCTGTTGTGCGGGAGGTCGTGGGTTCAATTTCCAGGYAGACTAACCCACTTAAACAACATTCTACCTTACTTTTAATATCGCATCTTCATTTTCAGTCAACCGTTTTTKTTTTTTTTTCAAATGTCTCTATTTTTAGGTTTTTATTGGATTAGGCTTTCCTTACGAAGGTCCTGCGCCACTAGAAGCCATAGCTCATGGTAACATCTTCTTGAACGCTAAGGTTTGTTTAAGTTACCCTGCTAGTTTGTCGGCGTCCTGCGTCGATCATTTTTGAGGCGTTAAGACAAGCGTAAGTGTATGTGCGCCGGCGTTACTGGATTATCACTTTTGCGAACTCGGTATTTGCGAGCTGCAAGCTAAAATTTGTTTTTTCGCTGCCGCCAGTCAAAAAGTGAAAAAGGTACCGACTGATTAGTTTTGATTGACGGCAGCTAAAAGCCAATTTCACAGCAAGCCGTTGGAATGTCTGAGTTCACAGAATATTGATAATTGCCGTCACGTGACGGTGCAAAGCTTCTATAGCATTCATCAGAATAATGATGAATTTAAGTAAGCAGCTGTGAAAGCGCGCGCAGTTTATAAAAAGCAATGAAACTAGAAATAGTTGTAGAAAGTTTCACAAGTCGCGTATGTGTGCACAGTGACCCATTTCCTTGACTCTTGTCTTACATTGCAGCTAAAAACAAATAGGTTTCTTATTTTTCTTCTGTAGTTGGACCCTCCTCAGAATCGACTGAATGCTGCTTTCTTCCAACTAAAGCCTACGTTTCGTGCTGTGAGTAGATTGTATTTGACCAAAGAAGTTGTATTCCCATTGTTCCATTTCCGTGAGACATTAAACATGGATTTTATAATGCATAAATGGATTTCACTTCACTTCATTTCATTTTATTTAAATTAAAAGACAAAACGATATAATTTTGTTGCCTGCTTTGAGTGTTGGTTTCTTTAATAAATATGGACGGATGGGTGGACGCATGGACGGACGGACGGACGCACGGACAGTTTGACAGGTTGACAATGATTCAGTTCTAATTATTAACTACGGTTTATTATAAATACCAGCTTACTTCACAACATCCGTACGCAGAAACTTTTATTGGAGAGCCGCACGTATTTACAGTGGACATAAAGAATGTTAGTGTTGTTGAAAATACCATAAAGAAAATACTTAAAACGAAGGTAAGTCAAACAATTGGCCCTTTGCAGTTAACGTGTCTGATGAGCAAATATTCTTATTTTCTTTTAAATTGGTGATTCTTTTTAGCTACTTGTAAAGAACTGAATGAAACGATGCAGTTTTATTACGATCTCTCGAAACAGGTTGTAGAAAGTTTGTTTGCTTACCAGGATATTTCACCCATGGGAATCAAGATGTTCATTCATTTGCGCTCTCAGTGAATTAATCAGCACGTGATTACTGAGCTGCAAAGGGCCTATTTTATTAGCTTAATCAGCCTTTTACGAGTTAGCCTGCGAAACGGCCCTATATCCTTATCCAGTGAATAAGTCGAAACTGTTACCCAATAAATTTATCCACTGAATAAGATTTATCCGTTGGATAGCGCTATCCAGGCTTCATACACAACCGGGCCCTGATGAACATTCCACAGGAGACAGGAAATGACGTCAAATGAAACCCAGCAATTTACGATTTCGAAAAACAGTGAGCACAATACACCGAATCAAAATATGACGACCAATTTGAAGTATTATCGTTCTGGACTTACTAGCCTCGTGTTTACGTGGAAACATAATAGCGTTTCCACATGTAAAAGAGGCTAGTCAGTCCTGTACATTGGTTATTCAAATCGTCCGCCATATTTCGATTCGGGTACTGGGCGTATAGACGACCTCTACCTTGGGCGTTATGTTTACCATTACAGACCACGTATCACTGCCTAGAGAATAAGATTCTTTATTTAAGCAGTGCCCATATTCAAGATTATTCTCATGTACAACCGTTAAACAATAAAATGATACTCAAGGGAATGGCAAGTCGTCTGAAATGGGAAAAACATAACGCCCAAGGTAAAGAGGTCTGCTTGACATCTATCACGGATACGAACTTTAAGGTTTTCTCGTAACGATCTTTTTATACACTGAATGATACATAGGTGAAACCCTACCTTCCCTTAGAGTGGACACCAGAAGGAATGCTAGAGAGAATAAGCTCTTTTGCTGAAAATATGGTAAGTCAATAGCAGATATCGGAGTTACACTATATAGCCTTCAGACAATTGTTACATTTGGGTCAGTTTCTATACATTTCATTGTATTGACCCAAATGCCTCGACTTGAAACAATTGTTTGAAAGCAACAGAGTGTAACTCCGATATCTGCTATTATTCCATTGCTGTATTGTCTTTCCGTGGTTGCGCGAGAAACTGGTAACGAGTAGGACGCGTGTTGAATCATAAGACTGTCGCTTTAGAGGACGTGAAACATGACACGTGATCTAAAGTGGTGGTTTATGTTAATAGGTTGCTATGATAATTCCATTGTTTTGTGGATGCAAGAGAATATGAACTAAGAGAAGGAGTGGATGTGATTGCTCGAGATTGAATATAGCAATCACATCCACCAAGAGAATATGAACTAAGAGAAGGAGTGGATGTGATTGCTCGAGATTGAATATAGCAATCACATCCACCAAGAGAAAATTAACTAAGAGAAGGAATCTCTGGTATTCATGCTTGTAACATCATAGGCACCGTGTGATGCTATCATTAGAATCACATTTGCCATAACGCCGCCTTCTTGTTTCGTGCTCTACCCAGACAATACAACCAGACTATAGTTCTCGCGACTATTTTCCAAGATTCTACTAGTTTATATATTTTCCAGAGAATTAATGTTCACATTTTTTTGTTTCAGAAATTTTGTTATGGTTATGATAAGATATGGCCGCCTGAAGATGAATTGCAATTAATACTAGGGGACGAAGGAATATCTTGCAAAGAAGCATGTTGGAAGAAAGGTATGACATTAAACCTTCAAGGCTTATAGAACCCTGAAACAACCTCTGGGCTGATCAAAGTCAGGGCATGGCTAACTCACAGATCCAACCCTGAAACAACCTCTGGCACTCACTCATTAGGAACTGGATATGTATCTTAAGAAAGAAAATATATTTGTTGTTGTAGAAGTCTTTTTTTTTTTTCACTTTTGCTTCAGGTCTTCTTTGCGAATCCCTTTTCTTTAATAAAATAAATACAAAAGAAAGTTTTAAAGAGTAAGTATTTCAAGCAATTTAATCAATTGTCTATTATGTATTATTGTTAGACGAAGGTTTTTTTATGTATTTGTCATAAGTTTAAAGCCCCCTTCACATGTATCCGGATATTTTTGAAAACGTAGCTTTGTTATTCCGTTTCCAAAAAAGAAAGAAGTCAGAAAAAAATACTCTGAATCTTTGCTTTCCTAGCTACGTTATGGACTAGCAATGCATTTAAAATTCTACCTATTCTTTTGACGATTACCTATGGGTCAAATGGTGCAATGTGGTTACAATTCTTTTATGAAATTATAGTAAAATGATCTTTTTTCGCCGATAAACAACTGAAACTAGGACCGCCTCATCAACTACGACAATCCTTTGCGCGCGTTCCCCGAGATCACCTAGTATATTATACATTCTCAATTCACATTAATATATATATATATTTTTTTCCTGCTTTGTTTCCAGATTAAGAATAGAATGTGATACCAGAGATGACCGAGGTAGCCTGGTAATGCCAGCTTATATTTCCGCTGAGAAGTCCTGTGTGTTACAGAACCATCCACTACTTTTCAGCTGTGTTGCATCTAAAGCAAAACATACTCGACTCTGCCCGTGTAGAGATTTTCAACCACAGCAAGTTGCATTATGCAAGAAGTGCACCTAGACTGTACCACAGGTAACCCATGAAAAGTTTTTAACTACAGCAAGAGACAGTTCCCTTCTGAAGGACAGGCTATTTTTATGTTAGGGTTTTTAAGCGAAGCAAAAGGAAATAGCCCACTTCTGAGATATGCTTCTTTTGTCAAGCACAAAGGTTTTAGTACGAGACAACATGCTAAACTACATGTATTCCTTTTTTGCTGTTACGTATCACTGAGCATTATGCACCGCGAAGCCTCACAATGAAACATTTTTGCGTAAGCGAAGCATATCTTGAAGTAGGCTTTTGTATACGTCATGGTGCAAGAAGTGAGCGTGATCTGTGCCACAGGAAACCCATCGCTACGCGTCGTGGTTTCCTACGCTCCTCTCGTGTTCTCCCAACATCCCGCGTGTTTTGATCAGAGTATCAAACACGGAAAACTGTTTTTGATCTGTTAAATAAAATTTATATAGAGTACAAACACTAAATGCGGGCAACATAAATATCACAAAATAGTGTTATCTTATGCTAATTCTATTGTTTTCTTTTTTTTAATTAGTGCTATTTACTACTAAATAGTGATAGAGTGCACGCACTAAAACCGTGAACATTAAATAGTACTAATATTAGTACTTAGATCTTATTAACCGAGCGGGAGGTCTGTATGGGATAATCTTGACCGAGGTCTGTACCCGACCGAGATCAAGATTATCCCGTACAGACCGACCAAGCTCGGTTGATAAGAGCTTTATTATATGACCACTTTTCATTGAAAAGGACAAAATGTTTTCGCCGTAAGATTAATATGCGATCGGACCGGTTAATACCGGAGAATCTAGACCAGTCCGCGAATCGATCTATCCAATCAGATTGCTCGATTTGCTAGTGTCCAGGCTCTAAGATTCACGGTCATATAATAATATTTCATACAGAATCCTTTGTTTTCTATTGTTTAATTATCACTATTTAGTGCAAAAAATTAGTATTTGTTTCACGGATTTAGTGTGAGCACTCTAACTATTAATATATATTCATTTATTTCTATTCATTAGTGATAACTACACATTTAGTATTTGTACTCAAGTACGAATAGAAGAGAATAAAATATAATTCAAAACTAATATGTGTAAATATTTAAGTGTGTGGAATAAAACTAAAAAAATTATGGTTGCTAACTAAAACAGTAAATAGAATTAAAAATTAAATAACTAAACTATATGATCTTAGAATTATAATTATAAAGGTCGGAAAAGTGAAGCATTACAGGGAAACTTAAATATATAACGTTGATAAATGTTGCCATTTAGCAAAGGCTTTTCTTTAAAATCCATTGTTAACGGCTCCAAAATGGCCGCCGTGTTTTCGTCTCTTGACTCCCTTGGGAATGCTTGTAACCCATCAACATCTATCTATGTATTCATATAGATTATACACTCGATTGCAGAAACGTAGTATACATTTATACAAATATCTAATGAGATGCATAATACAAAATAGCCATTTCCAACGCTTAAAACCAACTGATTTATAATCTGTACGATCTAATAGACAAGGAAATTTTTTTTTGACAGTCA